TGTTTTCATCCAACTAACATTTAAAGGTGATGTCACTATGGAAATGACCAGCGAATGACTAGGAACAGGACTTTTCCTACTGCTGGATTGAATCCTCTGGACTAAATAACATGTCTGTTCAGTCGCAAGTCCACATATACATTTCCACTGTTAGCTTCAAAAGTGTATAACAAATTTTACGTAGCTGCTGGAGAAATAATTCTCAGAGATTTTGAATAATTCTGCTTAGAGTTGTAGTTTTAAAAAAGATACCGTGAAATGAGCTATTTCGGACTTTCTGAGTTTATCTCGTTTTCACTGTGAAATGCGAAATAAAGATCCTCATGTTTGAGGATTCACACGATTCCTTCTGAAAGTTCTAGCAGATGGCTGCTATCACTGATACGCTTGGCATGTTTACATATCTCACAGACGAAGGGCAGTGCTGCATGCAGAGAATACTGCTGCATACCCTGCCATGGCAGCCCGAATGCCACGGGAACTGTCCAACCAAGAGCAGTGCTTTTCCATCTTTTTCAGCTGGCCCCATAACTGCCCACAAGCTTTAACTTCTTCCAGACATGATTCCCTAGAAATTACGTCTAACTCGTCGTTTTTCATTCGAGCGCCTGCTGTCACTCGGCGGTCTCCCGAGAGGAAGTAAAATCCATTTGCATTTCCTTCATAATAGAAAATGTGACTTGTACTCTTGTAGGTGTTTGAGCGGTACACAACAGGCTTAAGGCTTTTGTGTAAAGAATAGTCTAAAATATTAGCAACCGCACAATCCGTATGACTGGTCTTGAGCAGGTTTTCTCTGGACTTTGTAGTCAAGCAACACTAAATATTTGTCTCTATCAAGAACTCCATGAAAAAGTCAACTTCCATGGTGTGAGCAGCTGTACAGTAGCATGCCATCACAAGCTTGCATTATGGTACTGAGTTATCCTGCTCATAGCTTAGCACCCTGCTACCCTCTCAATTTTATTACAATTTCACAGGTAAATTCTTTGTCTTCTCTTATTTCTATAACTTTTGCTAGTAATTTCATATTGGTGCCATAAAACAAAATTGCGAAATGTATATTAGAGCTTACACCATCTGAAAACTATGTTGGATCATAAAACAGGCTTCGTTAGTCAAAATATCACTTCGACCCTTTCTTCTCGAAACTAAAACCATGGCGTGTAGAAATGAATTCTAGTTATAAGGTTATTTAATACCTCTTGATCATGTATTCGATGTTCCACAAGTAAGCCATTTGAGTTAAAGTAATTTTTGAAGTATGTTATATATTTCTGTATTTACTAGAAGTGAAGTCATTTTAAAGCTGTTACCACCTGAAGAAAACCCATGCGATAAAAAGAAGCGAGCTCTTTATTATCCTAAACATATGTTCATTCTTACTTTATTCAAAGTAACCAGTAGAATCGGGTGTATCATTGCATTTCACAACTTCATCCAGAGTGGTTAGGTAAAAGATAAACGAGGTCCGTATACAGTGGCATTTCAGCTCGTTTTGTATATACCAAACACGGATTTCAAAGTAACTTGTCTTGTTCCGAAGAGCATCAATTTCGGCCTGCAAGTTGGTCTTTCGCATATTGTTGAAGCAGCTGGAATCCACCTCCAGAAGCCTGGCTTATGTGTTTTTTAAGAAAGTAGTCGTTCACACACTTTCCCAACCTAAGTCATCATTGTTTTAACTGTCTTTAATTGTCGCACAAATGTTCTTAATTTTATCTGACTTCCGTTTATTACTACACTTTTTATGCTTATTGTCACTTACAAATGCATTGATAAATTACATTTCCATTGATCTCAACAACTCGATATGACTTAAACAAAATCACTACTGTCAATAACGGTTATTCTTAAATACTAATGCTATGAGTATATAACCGTGCTCGTTTGAGCAGTAGGTAGTAAGTAGCTAGTGCCATGTACCTGTTACTTTGTTTGGTACAAACTGAAATTTGTCAGTGAGGTTTGCAATGTAGTCACCATGACACTAGTTATTCCCTACATGGTGTCCAATCATAGTATCTAATACATTCCTGCAGGAGGTCGATAGTCAATCTGGGAAAGCTCAGTAGAAATTTGTCTGATTGCAACAACGGGTGAAAAGGGTTTCAAATCTCAGGAAGGACATGAGTTCTCTCAAGATTGTAGATATGCCTTGCTGAAGAATGCCAAAAAGGCATGAAATGTGGATCCAAGGCTTCCCAACAAATGCTTTCAAACATCTAATATACATAACTGTAAAGACAGACGCGCAGGCTACTGGAAAGAAAAGTTTTCGTGCAGATTTCCTCTTATCTTCTGGTCGTTAGAATGGGGATTTTTGTCATTTTGAAATATTTTTATTATTACAAATATTGTTTCACTAAATTATATTTTCCTTTTCAGGATGACTTAACCATTTTAACAGTTATTATGCACTTATTTTTCCAGCGAAATCCTATAATTCTTACTGTTTCCTATTTTGCTCCAGTATAAAACCCTATATATATATATATATATATATATATATATATATATATATATGAGAAGGCCACCATTATTCCACTGAATTCAACTTATTTTTGTTTAGACCCATGGGTTTATCATTTTTGATTCTATCTCTAGTGGGGTTTAGGATGCGCAGTGCTGAAGAGTTCAAAATTAGGATGAAATAGTTATCAAATGCCTTTTAGTGAAGTCGTTATATCAAGGAAGAGAATAATTTACAGCCCCGAATCAGTAGAAGAAGGGATCACTCTCTCGAGGAAGATTCTACTTGAGAATGCCTATCCTTCACTCTATACAGATGAACAAACAAAACCGAAAACTAACAAGCAACACTCCATCTCTGTCTTGAAGAAGACGCTACACATGAATTCGGTAATAAAAAGCTGCCTTCTGGCCGACATCCTAAAGAGAAGAATATCTATCGCCCTGAAAAGAGCATTCTCTGCCGTTACATTATGACTGGTATTCCTTAGCCGCCCTTTATTCTTCAACAACTCTAAAGGTAGACAATCGCATTTGATCACTTCTAAGTGTATCAACCAATTTACTTGCTCATGTAAAGCCAGACATATAGGTCTATTGATGCGTATTTTACCTCTAAAGGAATGAAGGAACATTATCCCGCTTGGCTACGATAAGGTAACAGAGGAAAAATAATGAGTGCTATAGTTAAGCATATATTCAAAATTGGTCACTCAATAGGTGTGGAGAATTAATTCAAAGTCACCTACAAAGTCAAAAGAAGCCTCCGTAAAACGGCACAGCTCCGCATGCTTCGAGTCGCCAGGTCCTTAGCGATCCGGATAGAAAACCCTGATTTATGTACACTGAAAAAACTTCTCCACTCCCTCCTGCTAACATGGATATAATTCCAAGTTGCACTAATTTATTGCCAGTACTATTTTTGAATTTTTGTGTAACATTTTAGTAACATCTTTTTGCTGATTAGCCATTTATTTACTCTTTCTACCTCCTAGACAATTTATTTTGAACACTCGTCTTCATACTTATTCGTTAACATCCTATTTTCTTTTTCGTATTACCTAACTGTAGGAAATACTTACTAATCTTCAACTCCCCCTAGTTATAATTTCAGTATTCATCACATTTTTTTGAATTGTTTCGATGGCGTAAACAACAGTCCTAACCTGATTTTTATCCTTTTCTGAGAAACCTAATGTACGCATACACACACAGAAATATAATTATATGTATAATTGCTAATGTACAGCCAAGTCAATGGATTCTCCGCTAAAAAGAGACTCTTCACTTAACTATTTGGTCTTACATTTATTCATTAAGAGAATAATCTATGGACTCAGTTTGGCATATTATAAATAGCAAATAGTTTGAGGAGAACAATTATGACGTTTTCTTTTCCATCTCACCTCACTATCGTGATATTTACCATTCTAATGTTATGGTTGTATCTGGACTGTTTTCAGCATGAAATTCTGGCTATTTAGGAACCACGCAAAGTGAAGTTGACACCTGAATTAGCAGCTATCAGTTACCCACGTTGTTGAATAATAATAATAATCCACTACGGTTTAATGACGGTAACTCACCAGCAACATTATTATTCCGTATGACTATAAAACGAGCCCATGAATTACATCTCAGTTCACTTTGTTCGCGAGTGAAGCAGAACATCCCTATTTTACCCTACTCTCTGTGTTTCTTTTTGGCTGGTTCTACTATTTCCCGTGAAGTTTTATTACCACCTCACATGATTTTCCCTCTGTCACCCTAGGATGCCCAACTCGTCGTCTTCCATTTGAGTTCAAACTGAAGGCCTACCTAGCATGTGATTTCACGACGCCGTCTACTCAACATGTATCCAATACTCCTCCACTTCGTTGTGGATATTCGTTTTGTGCCTCAATGATTGTTTACTAGAGTTACTTCTTATTTCTTTAGTGTGGATCTAGCGAAAGTGCCCGTTGATGAAAGTGTGAAGTCTGTGGGTAATCTTGTAACTAGTATTCGTTCTGAATGTATAACAAAGTAATTTAAATAAAAGAAACAAACCGATGGATTTCATCTGAGTAGACGAAGGTTATTCGACCACCAATGAGCACTTGTTGTTATTTTTACACTTGATTCTTCACTCCTTCCGCAAAGCAAAACCACCATTCAATCCTTCTTGATTGATAACAGTCATTCATACTTTAAATATACCAATTATAATTATCTGGTTCAGCGTTGACGCTATTCACTAAAGAACTGGGTAAACAAACCTACAAACACCAATGATGATTCAGTAAAAGAATCCCCACTGGTAACTTTGGAGATTCGAGTTCAATTCACAACCAACTCAACCCTACACCTTGCCTAGTTCACTAACAAACAGTAAACTCAGAAAACTGAAAAGGTTGGGTGTAATGTAAGTGACCCAACACCGTAAAAATGCAACCTAATAGTTACTGGAACTTTAAAGCCGCAGTCCTACAGTCCTATGCCCCACTCGGAACGCTGAGCAAACGCAAAAAATAACAACAACTAAGGGATGAACTATAAAATGAATGATTATTTAAAGCGAAATCAACCAAACAAAAGAGACAGAAAGTAACAAGACAAAGACCACAACAAAAGCTAAATGTGAAATTATTACATGTGACAGGTACAGATTCTTTTTTGACTAGATGAGAAAATCAAAAGGTATACATTTGTCTTGTTTTTAATATATTTGCTGTTGAAACAAACACATCCTTACTTTGTTAGCCGAATATTTTTTTATTGAAGAAAGCAATCGAAAAGACGAAAATAAAATTCAAAATTTACACCAAACTTTTTTGTCTCAGTTTAAACAAATCAGAATCAACAAATGTGTAAATTAAACTGAAAATTATATATGCAATGCAGAGGCAATAGCAGAAGAGTTGATGGGGTTTTGCATGCATAAGGTGACTTGTTTTGCCGTGAATTCTTTCGTCAGTTATGTAAGGAAATGTTGAAAGAAATATAACGCGGGGCGGCTGGACGGGATGGGAGTGTTGTGATGGTTTCAAATGATAGATTGAAAAGAAACAAGGATGGAGTTTAGATGTATCCATCATAATGACATAAAACAGCTATAGTTGAATGATTGGTCAGTAACATGATTTATTACTACTGTTTTCAGTAGTAATGGTTGTATTATTTTGGCAAGTGTTGTCGTGTTTTGTAACCACGATAAATTGCTTGAATCTTAGTAGCTGCTGACTCAGGATCATAGGTGACAGTTTGTGAATTCATTGATGAACTGTGAACATTTCGACTTCTTTCATGCATTGTTGGTGTATATCCACGACAACTAAAGGAGAAATTATCATTTTCTTTATTCAGAATAGGATTTTCTCGATCATCATGATGTAATAGTGGAGCTAAAGATTTTCGTGTCTTATAACCTCGATAACCAGCTTGAATTTTTGTCACCGCTTTCACTTTAACATCATCATCATCGACATCACTAACATTATGACGTGATTTTTGTCCACCTAATTCACGATATGCAGGATATCGGCCTGTTGTTCCTATCGCAGTTGTCGACGGCATCTTTGTACATGACACTGTTGTGTGCTTAGGCATATTATCATCTCTTAAAGCTTTTCGGGTTAAGTATCCACGATAACTGGCTTGAATTCGTGTCGCTGCATTATCTAAATCACAATAATTACTTGCTGGCGACTGTGGTGACATGCTCATACTATAGCTGTCATTACCAGATGATCGATTATGACGTGGAGAAGTATGAACTAGATTCTCGTATTCTTTACGTGTACGATAACCACGATAACCAGCTTGAATTTTTGTTGCAGCTAACGATTCTCTGTCCAGTGCATCAGGTTGGTGATGTGGTTGCGGTTGTTGTTGATAAGAATAGGTTGTTGATCTGGTTGAACGACTAAATGACATGATCTACAATTAAAACAAAAATTAAAATAAAGTAGTAAGGACTGACAATAAAAGGCGTGATTTTTATTTTGATAGAAGCATAAATTACTGCAATTTGATGATCTGTTTGCAGTTAGATTGTTCAGCGAGAGAGAATAGTATGACTACTCTGCTCACCACATCAGGTGTCAAATATTGACGAATTCCAAAAAACTGAGCTGAAGGGACAAACAAGTAATTCAGAGGACGCTGTCTGTCACTTTCTAGTAGGTTAGTGGTTGTGACTCAAACAAGCAACAGGCCACATAAGTAGAGACAGCTATACTGGGAGTACGACTAGTCATCTTATGCAGTGTCTTACATAACATCTGTCACTGTGACTGAATTTAGGACAGGCTATAACTGTCCACATTCAGTGTGTTTTATCGGATCATGTAGAATCCATCTAATATTCTTCGCATTGTGCTGAGCCAGGTGGTATTCGAACTAATACTCTGAGACTTAGTGTTCTCGAAAATGTTGGTACAGCCATTATTTCTGGTTCAACCGAAGGCGTTTGAAGTACGTAGCTACACTCCTCTCATAATATATGGTTTTGACACCTTTCTTAGTGTTTTTTCAATTCTTTCTTAGTCTAATCAAATCCTTGCCGAGACTGTATATATCCGCTTCCCTTACAGTTTAGCCTTATGCGATATCACTGTTTCTATCTTAAGCTCTTACCTCCTAAGACCGTTTGAACATTTGTTTGCATAACCATTCCATTTTCCCATCCTTATTATTTCATACTTCTTCGTTGTCCATCACTGTTATCAGTAGCATTGTGATGTATATTACTAACTGCTTTGGTTGGTAGTTTAACGGTCGAAAACAGGTGAATTCGATAACTTTACTTACTGAGGTGAAAAAGCACATCATATTTATATATCATTAGCCACACTGAAATTCGGCTAGATTAGCGTATAATAAATTGCTCTAACTGGTTGGCGATTGACACAAAGTTAAGCGATGAAACGAATAGTTGTATAACGAGGTTATTCCACGCTCATGGCGTAAACGAGATACAAATTTGAGGAATAAACACCTCCTCCTCCACAGCCATTGACTTGAAATAGTGATTTTGATTTTTAGTCACTTATTAATCTGCACCAATAATCTTGTCCGTAGCACACACCATAAAAGGAGACCGTTCAGATCAACCAGTAGTCCTTGTTAACAAGATCGAAGTGGCGCACACACTGGTGCTTGCGGCCAGTCTTATGCGCAATGTGCTCGGCATGACTCAGTTCACACCTACCTACCTACCTATTTGGACGAACTGTATGATTTTGATTATGAAATTTTGATGTTAGTTGCATTAATAAGTGCGCTGGTGCTTCAAGAGTAGAATGGCTGCCAGCCATGAGTGTGATCCGCATTCTATTCTAGGCCGAAATATTCCTAAATCCCGCCTAGCCGGTAATACACCAAATAAAGAGGAAAGGCTGGGAGTAAGCCTAGTAATCTCACCCTGTAAATGGTCACATCAAGCTAAAAGCTTGAATCCCTTTTTTTCACGCGGAACTGAAAGTAACGCAAAATTTGGCATGATTATTATTATTAATCTGACTAAACACATGTCTTATAGTTATCTTATCATCCTATGGAAAATGATTAACTTAAATTTATTTATTTGTTTATATTTAAAGTTAAGCATATTAGTGTAAAGCCTCAGGGGAGGACAATATTTTTCGAATAAATGTTTTCTTCTGAATTAATTTTCCATCACTGAACTAATTTTACAGTATTTAACTCTGTTATAGTGGCCATATTATTAGCGAGAAATCTGATTATTCTATGATAATTTAGGTATTCTCATTAATCTTTACTCAACAGAAATGGGAATTAATTCGATGCTGTGAAGCGGAGTATAAATTCTGTTGATGAACACTAAACAATCGGACAGTTAAATACAAGTTAGGTCATAGAATCAATAGTAGTACATTCGTGTTTTGATTTTGGGCGTCAGACGCCAAGGTAGATCAAGGTTTTGTTGTGCTCGTTGGGACTGATCTTTAGATACTGGTCGACGGTAGCGTTATTTCATGAAATGAAAAAGTTACACTTAATTGACCATCGAGTTCCAACTCAAGTAGCTAAATGGTTAATGAGTCTGGCCTCGTAATCTGAGGGTAAACAGTTTGATTCCTAGTGAGAACGTTGGTTTGTACCAAAGAGTCTGAAACTAGGACAAAACACTCGTCCAGTGCTTCCTTTTTCTCGGTGATTTCTCTAAACGATGCTGGTTCGCGACGAAATCTATAGTGAAATAGTACGAAACACCAGTGGATATATCCTTACAACAAATAAGCGACAATTCAAATGATAATAATAATAAATAAAAGAGCAAATTCATGCAAAAGCCTATACACTCTAGATATTTAGTGATTATGAATAAATAAGTTGGATGTGTATAAAACAGTACAGGTAGAGAGGAAGCTATTTCATTTCTGTCGAAGAGGAAGAAAGTTCAAGCTTGAAGGCCAGTACTCAACGCAGAAATTAAAGGACTAGAATGAAGCCATAAAGTTAAAAAATAGAATATCTTGACTTATTCAGGCAGTAAATTTCTATCGATTAAAGTGAAGTAGGATTCATATCATTCCCGAAAATACTTCCCTCCATGTTGGTTTTTAACACTTCTACAGTTAACGCCATTTCACGTTTTCAACACAATTCGAGATGGGTAAGCACAACTGAAAAGTCTCAATCCAGGAAAAAACAGACATTCAGTACTCTATGGTTTTCAATCTTTCTCTCAGGATAAAATCTACATTCACACTTCAAATTGGTCAGATTTAAAAAAGAAAAGACAACATATCTGGAACAATGTTTACATAGACAATCAAATGAATTGTATTCACTACTAACTCATCACCTTTTAAGCTATTACACGACTTCAACAGATTAACCTGTAGTAATAGTAGTACATGTAATATATATATTTTCTAAATCGAATCTTTTTGATGTCTGTAACTGACAGAATAAATTTTAATAAAAAAACATTGATTTAATAACTTTAAAGGAGGAGACAGAGGGCCTAAATCACAAGGTGTGAATGTTTATTCAGTTTATTGTGTATTCTATTTGTTGTGAGTACTGTCCAACATAAATTTGCTCAGAGATTCTGATCAGTTTCAGCATAAATTTTATCCTAAATTGAAATCACTTTGAAAATGATTAAAAATGAGGGAGAACTAGGCAGTCATTTCGTCCTAGCTTGACACTCTTCATTAGCGTGCACATACTCCCACATCAGATACAAAACCCAGGGATTTTAGGCTACAAGGGGAGCCTGTTGACTACTCATCTACTGGATTTGTATTCTAACTTTTATCTATTTACGATATGGCATTACAGATGATCACTGCCTTCAATGACCATATGCTTCACATCTGACATTGGTGTATACCACCAACTACCGCCTCTTATTAGAATTTCAGTGCAATTCATCCTATAACCACTAATCATCAAGAAACTGATATTTAGTATTTTGGGGCTTTAAGAATTTCTACTAATTCAACGAAGCAGTTGTTTTTGAAATGAAAATCTCAATTGACAAATTATCTGAGCCAGTACCATTGGATCTGTTTGTGTTTTCTTAGCTGGTTGATGTAATCTCGCGAAGCTTTCGTTGTCCTTCTACAGTGCAGGTTTCAGTATGAAATGATCTTATTTGAATTTTCCATGAATGATACAACTTTACCTTCTGACAACTATTGTTGTGATTAGTTGTGGAGCATAAGATGAAACAAGAGGCACTTGGTCAAGATTATCGACTAAATGCATATATAAAAATTACAATCAATACAACTATAGAGCAAAACATGAATAGATATATAATTGATCCGTTAAGTTTCAGGAGGTATGTTTTAGTATTCAGTGATGTTATAGAAATATGAATACTACAAATATGTAGACAAATAAATACGGTGTGATGAATGTAAGCTCTATAGATCACAAATAATGAATATAATGATAACATTAAGTCGTCATATAATGAAATGTAATCAAATAATAGAGACAATATTTTTTTTTGATTTACAGCTTGATTCCACACTGTTTTTGGAAGGAATTTTGGGGCCCAAATTTGGCCCCACCGGGTGGCCCGGGGGGGCAACCCCGGCCTGGGGGGGAGCTAACCAGTGTCAATTCTAAGGGTGACAGATAACAATAATGATAATAATAATAATGGTGTGAAGTAAACTAGGTGAAAAAGAGTACTGTTTATTGTATTCTAACATTGCTTACAGAGTCTGAAGAGGGTTTTTTGTTCTGAATACAATGTCACGTTCTGAGATCCACGAATTACAGATAACGCGAACGTTTTATGATAATAGATACCTTCAATGAATAAAACAATATTATTCACACTGCCGTGAGAATGCTTACACAAGATATAAGTAGCTAACAAACAGCTGGAGTGATAAATCACCCGTCCACTACACTTACAGAGAACAAAACGGGACAGAAACTTTGAATTGTTGGTATTAGATGGTTGGAAGCAATCGGCTGGAAGGCTTACCCGATCTGGGTTTCGTGCTAGTTGGCAGTCACCAGTCAGCAAGGCGTAAATGCAACCCTGAAGGAACTCATGTTCCTTCTGAAACTCGAACCCACGTTACCCAGTGTTGCAGTCAGTGACTTTATGACTGAGCTATTCTGGCTCACGATTGACCTCCTGTGGGATTGTATTGGATATTTTGGATTAGACACTAGTTAGTAACAAGTGTCATGTACCTGCTCCTTTGTTTGATGCCGACACGATTGGTAGCCAAATTACAAACGTGAATGTGGAATTCAGTCTGCACTAAACAAATGACTAGACGCGTAACACAAGTTACTAATTATGGTCCAATCAAAAAAACAGAAACCTTAAATTAAATGAGCTATCCATTCTAAAAACAGGTTCAGTTATGATTAAATTTTAGAAGGAAAAAAAGTAGTGTGAATTTAGAGAGATGTTGGATAAACGTCTTCTTTATAATGCATAAAAAAATTTTTAAAAGAAGGATTAAAATGCAGAAATTGAGAAAATTTGTCCCGTAAAACAAGAATTCTGCATTCAAATGAAGGTTGTGTATCCATTAAAGTTACTTGTAATCAATGTAAGCTGCATGGACACTTAGGAATATTTAAGAATCGCTTCTTTTCATATTAGGTAAGTAAATTCGATATAATCTACAAAGATGGAATACTAATAACCATCAGTTGGTCAAAAGTAACTGACAGGAAGCCCAGGACTTTGATTTTAGGCTTAGCGCCACACGTCAGAGAGGAGTATCTACAACCTTCTGAAACACAAATCGTTGTCACGCAGTCCTGTGGTAATAGACCTCACTACTCAGCTATTCAGGCTCACAGTTGACCTCTTGTAGAACTATGACATATATACGAATCGGTCGTCATACACCTAATTCTGGTATTGGTGTTGACTGAATTCTATCAGCCAAGTTCATAATGTAGTCACCAAGTTAGGTGTCATTCTGACAAGTGTTTTCTCCACTGAATGACCACTACCAAAATAAATATGACGAACCGGATCTATGGATGATTTCTGTCTCTCCTTTATCAAGCCAGGATAAGATACATTGATTAACACGTCGGCTAAGAGTCTTCTGGTAGCACGCCCAACATAACTTCACTCACAGGAACAGTTGAAATGATAAATAAACATATATTTGACGTAACTATTTAGCTTATTATTCCTTATTGGAGTCCCAATCGTCCGTCAACTAGGAAATAACAAAAAGGTTCGCTGCGTAAAATCTTCTCCTCCATATACTACTGGTTAATCTCTGGAATAAAATCTCACTTGTTAAATGCCTATTGAATTGTAAGTGAACAAATAATGGCTTCTTCCATACCGCCGTCGTCTCAGACTTTCTGTCTAATCTGTTCATATGTCTCCTTGTGAATCCACTCAGGGAATCATGAATATATTCAAATTCCTTTTGTAAGTGTTGCTCTGCCCATGAGACACTTAACAACACTTCTTTTATACTTACCGGGCACATAGCTAAAGAAGTGCGTGTATTGACCTGCTGTAATTGTTTTCTTTCTATACATGCTTCTCTCAAGTGACCTATCTTCTCGCCTACTTACCAAGACATTCAGAAAATGCCATCCTGATATTCTTCACGAGTGAAAGTAAGCTAAAGGGTGAACATTAATAAATTTCATCAACAATTTACCTATATTTCCATTCTCATTAATTAACTAAGATAAATGTATCATAGACATTACGGTAACAGATGTCCAAATGATTGATGACATCTGTCTTCCAATCCCCTGTTTTCAAGCTTTGCAAGGAAAAAGTCTGCTAAGTCGAGCCTAATGATGAACCGATAGCGATTCCATCCACTTGTCGGTTGTATGTATTGCTGAAGACAAAGTGTACGTTCATCGTGCATTTAAGGAGCAGTTCTTTGAGGCTAGACGGGGAATTCACAAATCCATTAGCCTTTCAGTGATTTAATTGTGTATATAATTTATCGTTTCAACAAGTAGTGCGTTCGCAAGTAATGATAATACATCCATGGATGACATATGTATATTACTAACATTAATTAGTCTCAGATATTTTAGACATGAAGTCAAAGAAATCGCTAATTCTATATGTCACGATTTCTTTGTGCAAAGGTTCCAAAATCCTAACTAACCACTTTGCCATCCCGTGATATGGTGAGTTATACTTCCATCTATCTATGCATGCATACATATTTCTAAACCAACATATCTGTTTTACGAACTTTCTAAATGAACATAAATTCTGGTAAAATGTATTGGGTCTAAAAAGGAACTTGGTTAAACAATAAGGTTAATATTGTTAATATTAATATAAGAAGATAATACTATGACTGACAATTAATCCCTTAAACTTTTAAGAAGCATCAGTACCCTTCACCATTCATAAGAGACATATCACCATAAACTGAGGTTAACAAATAGTTTTGTTGTATAGGCTTATAGTTACATTTGCTCTAAAAAATATCTTATACAAAATTTTGAACTGTTAAATCAAACCAAACCGAGGAGAAGAGGCAAAATAAAACACAATGCACACCACGAGTCCTATTCTTTCTTCTTTTGTTGTGTTTTTTTATTTTGTTGCCTAAGCACATGTTTTCTTCACCTTCTTGTCACCACCACCCCCCACTCGTTTTTGTATGCTAAGTAAGATAAAACGAAGTGAAGAATGGTGTCACTTGATGTGGTAACATGCAGCATTCATGTTTATAATTGAATAAGAAAAAAAATCAGATAGGCAGAAAGTGGAATTATTCCATGTTTTTAAGAGATAATAATAATGATAATAAATTGCACGGATACCCATTTCTGAATGTGTGTGTGTGTGTCTGTAAGTGTGCATGCGTGCGTGTGTGCGTACATGTATACGCACATGCGTGCATTTCTCTCCATATTTAGGAATGTTAACCTTGTATGAAATCAATTCTGTATGACCTTAAATATAGATTTCCCCTTTCCCTTTCAGAAAAAATAACAATATAGGGTAACCAAGGTGTCATTTCTTACTCTTTTGACTAATGAGTGTTTCTGCTTCAATGCATATTTCGTGTCTGTGTGGATTTGTACAGCTTAAATTTGCATCAATGGTAGTCGAATAGCTTTTAAGGTTAAAACCTTCTTAGCCTCACAAACATAGTTTCCTTGATAAATTTCAATTAAGACAGAACAAATTTGTGGTAAAACCTCGACGTCACTCCATTTCACAGCTTTTCATTAGGTGCTATAGACTACTTTAGGGTTGTAATGATTACAATATAACAAGAATAACATAATTCATTGTTTGAATGGTAACAGAGAAAATGTTACACAATAAGGTCAAGGCATCTGATAAGTAAGCCTTTCCAAGTAGGAAACAAAGGTAAACGAGAGACTAATCTCAATATCTTCCTGTATGCATAAGTATGGTTTGTATGCGATTGCTCCAGTGAATCTTCGTAAATTTACTATCCTGTGTATATTTACTATTTTGAAAATTTTGGAAATCTCGACAAGGTGTCTGGTAATTTCGCTTTCTAAATATCTGCTTCTTTTTTTGAGCATAAGTTTCTTAGAATATACTCAGGGAACCGGATAAAAGCCCTCCTTTTGTCTTTCTAATGTACTTGCTACCACAAGTGCATGTAAGTTTACAAACCAGTTGGTGGTGACATCAGGAGGGTATTTATCCAGTTTCGATCGGCTTAGTCAGCATATGGTGCTATTTAGTGTTACGAGGTTAGCTATGGGGAAGCATCCTTTTATTGCTCTTTTCATTCTTTTGTTAATTTTTTGTTATACTGCTTCTCCTTAGAATGGGTTACTGGTGAACACTTTCTTCTTTTGAATAGTTGGGCATTCCATTTTCTAGTTTTTTTTCTATGCGATAGTTCAGGATAAATTCCTTCGGATATCCGTTTTTCTTTAGGCAATTTTCAATAAAACCTATTTCTTCTTCTATCCTGTTGAGTCATCATAGCCCCCTAACTCTATCATGCAATTTTTCTCCTATTATAGTGAAGCTAATGTATAATCTAGATGACTTTTCCATCTATCGCACCGGCTTTCCACAGAAACTATTGCCTGAAATGAAAAAGATATTTACTGAGTGCAATTACCAAACACTGATATAAGTACAGAACTTGGCCACTGTGGTAGAGTATAACTCCATTATGGATAAGATCTTATTTTGATAAACCACACAGTATTGTACAGTAATATTAACTGCTGACATTTCGAGCACAAACTATTGCTCATAATCATATCAATAGAACTCGATATGATCTTATCCGTAATGGGATTACCAAACACCTTATGGATACGCAGCATGTTGTCCAGATTTCCAAAGTTTTCATATTATAAATATACACAGAGAAGAAAATTTACTAGGATTCACTGAGGCAATCGCAATCAAACGTTTCAAAACGAACTTATTCTCACATAAAGAGAGTGTGATCAATCTCTCACTCCCTTGGTAACTGCATTTTAAATACACTGGTTAGTTATGTAATTTAGTGATTGCAGCTCATTAAGCACATGTCACTCTTACAGCTTATAACTTTCTCGAGTCAATAAGTGGACTTACAAACTGACACTGTTGTTTTGTTTTCTCTACTATTATTGAGACACTGAAGTATGTTATTTTCAACTGATGAACTCCTATGAAACAAATTGACGTCACTCTATACTACTTAGTTTATTTTCAGTAGTATATGCGTGTACATACAACGAATTTTATACATCACTTCCATGAGAAATTAGTTAAAATGAAGTATTATGGTTTATGCCAAAAGAGTTATACAAATGACGAATAAATAAATAGTCTTGAATTAAATTCCTTACGATTACGAAAGTAGATAAGTGTAATTTGGGTCAGTCCAGTTATTCATCATTGAACAGACAGAATTATTTAAATGTATAAATTATTGACAAAAAAACCGTATTTTTCTCTACATTATTCTTTCAATACCAAAATAGTTAATCTCTGATTCTACAGATAAACAATTTATCATGAACTTCAGACATGTAATTAGTTATATTTAGAAATTCTTTCCAACTATTTTGTTCTTTTTTTCGAAGTAGTGGTTAAGAGCGTTGAAGAAAATTGACAGCAAAAATAAATTGAGTAAAACAGAAATGAATGTGAACAGGCTATATATAACTATGCATAGAAAAATTTATTTTGTTACAATTAGCATTGCTAATTTAAAAATAATATTTAGATAACATACTGTGATCTAGCTGTTATTGTGAGTGGTAATCAAAGAAGACAAGCAATATTGCCAAGATAGTAGATACTACTGACTGGCTGACTGATATGAGTAGTTTAGAACTGGTTAGGCTATGCACAATAGTCTTGCTGTGCAGAAGGAAGTAGGGGTATGGCATTTTCATTCTTTTGGGGTATATGTAGCTGAGCTCAGTTCTATCTACTCTTGCTTTTCCTTGATCTACATAATTTGTAAATGACATAGCAAAATCAAAGTATTGCCATTTCACTCGAGTAACCAGTTAAAATTCTGGTGATTTGAACTGAGAAAGCCATAGATGCAGAGTTCAAACTTTCGATAGGTGCATCGTTATTCACTAGGGAGAAAATATATCCAGTCAAGGCAAAAGTAGTATTCCGAAATTGATTTATACAGGTTAGTGAAATTATTATATAATCCCTGCCTGATGACCACTTAATATATTACAGCTTGATTAGTTAGAATTGACATGTTTTATAAAACTACATATTACTGATTAGATGCGATTAGTAGTCATATACACCTCAAATCACTCAGTAGTGCTTGCTAGTCAGATCATCGAAGTGATCTGAACACCGAATAGACATCTTGTTCATTTCGGGTTGAACTTTTAAGTGGTGCACTGGCCTTGACTCAACTGTGTACATTGCAAATTAATTTGCAAATTGCTAACGAGACTTGCGGAATTGCTAGTTCACCGAAGCGATTGGCCAGGAAACAGGCTGTTTCGAGTGATACAGATACAATAATGATGACTTCAGCCACAAACTAACGAAATGGCTATTCAGCGTTAGGAACCCGTCGTTCTAGTTAGCAAGTAGTATACAACTACTCGTCCTAATTAATCAGTAGTATATACTTTTGTGCAATTATGTTTGCATTCTTAATTATCATTTATGATATCAAGCAGATCACATATATTGTAATCTGAATAATTCTGGTTTTTCAAGGAAACTATGGTGAAGTTTCACCTCGAACTGTGTTAATTGCAAACTAATTAATGAATACTGAATTATATTTAAGGATACCTTTTAGTCCTACGGTAAAGTTGACAGTCAGATTCATTTAACAATCTGATAAGTATTCATTAATTTCTTTTATTTATTCACCCACCTTTAGAGTTCTATTTTATAAAAAATGTGAACTGTACCACTATGTTTTGTGATCAAACCTATAACCAGTAAATTTTCTGCAAACCAACGCTTGATAGTTAATCTGATGCGCACAAGCAGCCGGTTCTATGCAGGAAGTTACCTGAAGGTCTAGTGAGAATTTGTAACCAGCAGGGTCCACCAAGTCAGGTAAGAGATCAGTTAATCGCCTATTGGCAATACCTAGTGACCTCGCTACATATATCTTGAACCGTCAGAAGCTGGGATCCATGGGACATCAGACTGGGTCCTACTGACTGAATGGTCGGCTTGCAACCAGAAGGTTCTGGATTCGGACCCCAGTAGACGCGTACTCCTGAAGAGTCCAAAGCTAGGAAAAAAATAGCTAATTAGTACTCCTGGGTTTTTCAGTTGTTCTCAAGCTGATGTTAGTTTGTGAATAAACTTGAAACCAGTCAAGTTCTTTTAATCCACCATTTAACAATCACAGAAAATTGCTTGGAATAAATCTACTCGAGGTTTTAGTCAATCACTGTCAGTTATTTCTGATGTTTGAAGTGCATGACATAATCAGGATTTGGAATGCCCTCAAATCTTCAAGACTTTTCAGTAGGATGTCCGAAAGATAACGGGATAACTAGATTTCAATGAGTAGTTATATTTGTATGCTTAGGGTCGTTTCTCTTATCGTGTTATCTGTTGTTTTCAGACAAGCTTTGAAAGCTCATAACCCACAGAAAAAAACAACCTGCAAAATCATCCAAGAGATTGGAAAGACCAGACAGAAGTCAAATTTTGAACTACGCACATCGATACCGAAGTTAAATCCAATGAGGGATACCTTTTCACGTGAAACTGTGATTGATTTAATCCTTTGTAAATATGAGTGAGTCAGTGGTTCCATAGCAGAATACACTCCAATCAAGTAGGGACTTCCGACTCGATTCTTGGTTGACATATTCCTAAATGTCGCTTAGCTGGTAAGAGGCTAGTTAAAGAGGGTGATTAGACGTGAGGCTACCAACCAAGTGAAACTTAAAAAGCCTGAAGCATTTCCCTTCAACTTGAAATTCAAATAAATAAAGAAAACCGCTAATTTATGGATATGTTTCTTCTGCCGTTTGGTTACCTATATTTCCTTCAGAGAATCAACCAGCTGTCAGACGTGGAATTCACGGCTTCTCGTACCATCATTCATGCATATTCTAGTATTCAGTGTTATATAAATATCACAGGGTTACTAATATTGAGCTGACTTGTGGATCTTTGGGGATTAAGGAGTCTGAAATACGTGTTAGTGAACATTTTTTATCTACAGCCCATTCGGGTTAGAAATCCAAAATATGTAATAATACATGAAGTCGTTATTCTGAACCAGCGTGGCTTAATGGTAGCTGCTTAGACATGGTACTCAGTGGGCCAACAGTCAGACATTTGGTGGGGAGGAAAGGATCTTGACTGTCTGACCAGAAACAGTTCACAGTGATGTACACATTTTCTATTGATCGTTTTTAGATATTCTAAAAATTTTTCATCAATTCTTACTAAATTATGTTGTTTATTTTCGAAAGCACTGAATCCATTATTGAGTCATACTATTTTAGATTCTTTTATTTTCTGTTCGGCTTGCTATAAGCATATTTTAAGGGCTGATGCAGCTTTATACTCATTAGAATGTACAACCCTACATTCTTAAGACCAGTTTAACTGTTTACAGTATATTTTCTTTTTCAATCACATTATATTTAGTACTTTTAGACAACTTTTGCAAAGTCTTTGTGTAATGTTCTTACTATTCAGTGTCATCTGGGTAGTTAATGTCCCTAAACCTCGCTTACCTGATTTCATCATCGTATGCGAAGCCGTCAGTCAGAATCATAATGGTAAGTGGTTTCTTAAACCTGGGTCTGTGGGAAACTTCAGCAGTATGCACTCATGACAACACAATAGAACGAATCCATAACCTACAAAATTTAAGACCTGTGAGGTCCACCAGGTTCAGTATGAAGAACAATACTCACTGATAGTAGTCGCTCTGCATACTGCAAACTAATAGAAGTTAGAATTGATGGGACATCCACTCCAGTGGCTCAATGGTTAACTAGCTCGCCATGTGACCCGAAGGTCCCAGCTTCCATTCCCTATGGGACCATGAGTGGATGCTGATGAAGTGTCCCAAATTAAGAAAAAACAGCTGATTAGTTGTCCTTGGTTTCTTCTAACTTATATCAGTCTATAATCAGACTAGGATCGATCATCAACTCCAAACCAAAATGACACAAATAAAAATTGAAGGTGATCCAATAGTTTTCCTTGGTTTACAATCATGTTATTAAATACATCTCGGTAAATAGAACATAAATGCTGTCACAAAATTTGTTTTGAATACATTTGTCCAATAAAAAATACATCCCTCACATGTTTTGAAGAGATCATCCACTCCATCGAATTACTCTTCTTCAAAATTGTATGCATACAAATTAATTAGCATAAACTTGTAGAAGAGTCAGATGACGTCCATCATTTGATTTCGACTACACAAAATTACGTAATATACACTTACAAATTTGTTTCCTATTTCACCCTGGATATATATATATATAACTATCAGTGAATTTCTCTTTAGGATCGAGATAAATAAATACCCATAAATACTTTAGTGCATACAAAGAGGAGTGTATCCATCCATAAATTGGTAGAATTGATGCAACAGAAGTGTGATCTTTTCTGTTACACCCTGCACTCGCAGTGGTACATAGGGCTCCAAAAGTTTCAGAGGATTCAGTAGAGACAATGTCTTTTTATGAGTTATGGCGAGCGCTAGCCTCACACTCAACCTTGCGCCTTTCCTGGCTGACCAAGCGAGATTTAGGAGTGCGATAGACAGCTGTCGAACCCGAGCTTTTGATGTGGCTAACAAACACGTATGATAGTGAGACCCAGTGATTTGTGCATATGTTCCTCTGAAATAATGAATAAGTTTTACAGCTGAGATGGATGGTTTTGGTGTGGTTGTTTTGTCTGAGCTGAGTGGTTTAACTGATTGCTCTGAAGCTTTTGTCTAAGAGGAAAACAACAGCTCCGTAATAAAATCACCCAACTCAGAGAATACAGCTACCTAAACCAAATAACCGCCAGTGTGGCAATAATTGTACAGAATGTTTGATTACCAGAAGTTTGACTCATTTGGATAAAAGATGCACTTTTTATTCATTTTTCGAATGTTAATTCCCCTTTCGAAGCTTTTTTATTCATGTCTGCACACTGCCTTCACTGATATCCTCTTTTCTTTGAAAATGTAAATGTTCCTGATGAAATCAAGTCACATTCATAAATGATCTAGACGAAATTTAACTCAGAAAGTTTCCGTCAAGTAACAGATGTTGAATCTGGAGTTAACAGGGTCCTTGTGATTGAATGCCATCTAACTATACTTGTCATGTCATATAGTTTGTTGTTTACATAATAAACTTTGTCTATACATTTTGATCATATGCATCAGAATTGATCTTGTGCAAGAATAGCTTCAACTGTCACATTCGTCACTTGTCTTCACGTGTCAGTAGCATTCCAAGAATTTGACCATTCTAAGCACATATTGTCAACAGTCACAGATCAATGTAGATTCCACCAGAAGTCAGTGTTAGTGAAAAGGAAGTCTACATTAAAAATAACCATAATACCTACTAAACTCGAAACCTCAATATACCTATCTGCAATACAACATGGCTATTAGATGAATGTCCTAACGTTACAATAAGAAGTCTTGACCAGTGGGTGATGCTAATCTTTATTCGTGACTTTGGTTGGTGACAGAGTGGGTCATTCAGTTAGAAGTTAGTAGCTGAATGATCAGCAGGCTCATTTTGTAATCTGAACACCATGAGTTCAATATTTAGCATTGCCATGGGTATCAGCTATGAAGAGTCTCAAGATTGGATGAAACAGATGTCTAGTTATCCTCAAGTCTCAATGATAATTCTTTATCACAAATGTCGGTTCGTGATGAATTCGACAACGAAATCGTGACAAACCCCGAAATTAGGTTTCTGTATTGTGAATTTCGAAGTATGTTTTCGATAGCCTTTTTAAAAGTAAGAGCTGGTTCAACCAGAAATAGCATTTAACTGAACATCAGCAGACTGTTATCAACAGCTACCTTCTATGGCTGCACCCTGAAGATTATATGGACAGAAAGAATTACATACCAGAAAATCTGGAAACGAACCTATGGAGAACTTATTGCTCAAAAAATATGCCGAAGTAAATGCAGATATATCGGGCACACACTAAGGACACTGTTGAGTAATAACTTGCACAAATCACTCGAGTGGGACCCACATGGAAAAAGAGTTAATCGCGGATTTAAGGGGAGCGTGGCAAAGATCATGTGAGAAGGAGGAGATAGTCAGCCTATGGGAAACTGTGAA